TGATGTCATTCCACCGAGCGAGGCGCGTCCGAACTCGATTTTCGTCTTTGACGACGTGGCATACGATAAGCAAAACGCGGTAAGAGAGTATTTCTCAATGGGACGTCTCGAGCGTCGACTGCTTTTATCTCTGTCAGACTTACGCGAGAATACCGAAACATCTTATACGCGACAACGCGAACCTGCTAATCCTGTTCAAACAGGACGGCACCAATTTGAAACACGTGTTCAACGATCATGTGAATACCGACAAGTCATATAATGATTTCTGCGCATTGTGTAGCAGTTGCTGGCTAGACAAGTTTGGTTTCCTAGTGATAGACAAGGACAGCACGCTTTCTAATGGGCGATACAGAAAGGGATTTAACGTGTTTGCAGTACCGCGAACCGATTAGTCGTTGTCAGTTTTCCGTTGGGTGAAAAGCGAGCGATCAGCATGGCTGGGAGCGATGATATCAGCAAGCGTGAAAAGATTGTGAGAGAGATCGCAAAAACGAGCGAAGCAATTCGCAAGAAACATCGCGCTTTGAAGATTGGTAGGATCGATGATGATATCGCGGTGAAGACGCACTTTAGACCAATCATCGAGCCGTTGTAACAGATGGCTGACAACTCCAACGGGGTATGCGCGATAAAAGATGAGCCGATCCATGACATGGGGATGATTCATACATCATTCGACTACAAGGACGAGAAAGATGCTATACGGCGACAGATAAAGAGGGGGGAAAAACGGACCTCATCGAATCGCCCGTTGATCGAGTCCCCCGAATCGAAACATTGTAAATTGATAGATGTATCGTATGAGTTGGAAGCACCACCGATAACCTCTACACCGTTGATAACCTCTACACCACGTGCGACGGCCATGCGTCCAATGGAGGTGACTCTTGGGTCTGGGGATGTTTTCGATACCACTGGGGATTCGCTCCCATCAGCCGTTCAACGCGAGATACAAACGGAAGAGGGTCAAGCAGCGTTGCAGATACATCTGGGCCCGCTGAGCCAAAAATATATCGAGGCAGTTCTACGCCGAACACCTACCAAAAAGAGTGGCGTAAAGAGCAACATAGATTTCGTATACGGTGTTCATCTCGACAAGGATGGAATGAGGCTCGGCAGTAAACGGTTCGATGTAGACAGCACCGATAATATAATTCTCGACGGTGTGCGATACAAAGGTACGCCTGGTCTTTACGAGCTAATTTTCAAGAGACTTCCCGACGATGAAGTGTACACGAAGGATGATCTAAACAAGTACAAGAGCATACTTTTGGCGACGAATGCGCACAGGCGCAATTACAGCGCGCAAGGTCAGAAAATTGGTACCAGAGGGCACAAGTACAACCACATAATCGCACCGTTAATGCTGGACGGAGGAATGAAGACTCGGTCCAGGACAAAATCTGGAAAATGATTACCTCACTCTATGGCACTAAACGACAATGCGATCGATTACGAGCACTGGGACGATCCCAGTGAGCTTGTGGATCGCCTACGATTGCTCGATGCTTCGCGCCGAGCCGGCCACAACGCTCACGACAACGAGATGCTATCGATTATCGAGGAACTTCGCGAAGCTGGTTTTATTATAAATTAACTCACGTATCATCGAAATGAATCAGTCGATTGGTGCCGCTCGCGTTGATAAAATGCCTATCGACAAATTTGGACTATCCGAAGGGAGAAGAGATACAACCGATAACATTACATACAATCGCTGGAGCGGATTGATGAGAAGTTACGTACATCATAACGCTCTCTGTCGCGCTGCTACGGATTTCGATGCAAGATCATGCAAGATTCGTCGTGTAGCGCAACCTGAGGCTGATACCGACGCTGTAAACAAACTGTACGTGGAACAGTGCGTTGTAACGTTGAGGAAAGAGTCTGATGAGAAGCTGATTGCGTTGGAGAAGAACTTGCAAGCTTTACAGATCGCTGTGAACGAGCTCTGGCATGCAAATATCACTAGATTAGAAACGGTTAACGAGCGGCTATCGGATAACGATGAACTACAAAAACGGATATGAATGGTTATTGGATGACGACTGCAATCAGAAATAAACGGGTAGGGGACACATGTCTGTATTTCTGAAACAGGTCTGTATTCCAGAAACAGGTCTGTATTTCGGAAACAGGTCTGTAATTTGGAAACAGGTCTGTAAATCGGAAACAGGTCTGTAAACAGATCTGTATTTCGGAAACCGGTCTGTATTCGGAGCTGTTAGAAAACATATATCGCATGGTACCCTCTTTGCACATATCATTACGTCAACGATTACACACTGTCGAGACATGAGACCATCACAATCTGATGGACATAATGGTTCCGAGAAGCGACGGCTCGTCGAGGAACTGCATGCTCCGGCGAGAAGGAATTTTCCACGAAGACGCGTCATAGTTCGAGGATACGATGATCTGTGGCAAGCCGACCTCGTTGATATGCGTGCATACTCACGTTTCAACAGAGGCTACCACTACATGCTTACAGTCATCGATGTGCTGAGCAAGCATGCTTGGGCTATGCCGCTTAAGACTAAAGGTGGAAGCGAGACGGCTAATGCCATCAGTGAGATAATTCGGGAGAGCGATAGATGCCCGAAAAACCTGCAAACCGATATGAGGAAAGAATTTTACAACGGCGACGTGCAACGACTTTTGAAGAAACGCAACATCAATCTCTATTCCACCTATTCCGTATTGAAAGCATCGGTCATCGAGCGGTTCAATCGCACATTGAAGAACACCATGTGGAAGATGTTTACACTCAATGGAAGTTACAAGTGGATAGATTTATTACCACGACTCATTGCAGAGTACAACGCATGCAAGCACAGGACCATCGGCATGCGACCCGTCGACGTTACCCCTGCGGTTGCTAATAGGATTCTGAAAACTGTGTACAGCCACGTAAAAATCGCCGGTCCGGCAAAGTTCAAAGTGGGTGACGCGGTACGCGTTAGCAGATACAAGACGGTGTTTGAGAAGGGTTATACACCAAATTGGACCACCGAGGTGTTTAAAATCGTTACAGTACAGCGCACCAATTCTGTAACGTATCTACTCGAGGATTACCGTGGAGAACCCGTCGCTGGAGCATTCTACGAGTACGAGTTGCATCGCGCGACTTATCCAGATGTGTATCTCGTGGAAAAAGTACTGCGCAGGAAGGGTGACAAGGTTTATGTGAAATGGTTGGGATTCGCTGGATCACATAACTCGTGGATAGACAAGAACAATGTGCTTTAATTTTTAAAGAATGTATTTATTCTATTAAACATGTGTTACGTCCGACGAATTATTTTTCGTCAAACGTCACTATTCACGAAGCAGTAATGATCGCCCACCCGATAGAGAGCTCCGGCGCGACGCGGCACGTAGCACGCGCGCGGCACGTGATCTTATACGTTCTCTATTCTTATTTTCTCTACTATCATTTCTGGATTAATTACGCGACAGCCGAGGCAACCACTGTAACAGGCCGACCTTTGGTGCCTCCGCTTTCGCCCTAATAAAAGAAATCCGAAGAATTTGTGTTAATTACTAAGAAATAAGCTGTTAAAAACGCTGACATCCACGGTTCTCGAGAACAGAGCTACCTCCACACGAACCGTTGATCTCAGCCACGTACGGGGGCGCTACGCGCCTCCACTTCAAGCCGCCGCGGCAAACCGCGCGTTCAAACCACGGGAAATTAGTACTTTTAATATCGTAGCGACGATATTCTAGAACCTTCCATGCTTACGTGCTTCGGAACGGCATAGCGGAACTCTACGCATAAAAACGCGAGATTGGTATGCGCGTTAATAATTCGGGAACGCAAAATGCAATTAATAAGGAGTAAGCGGGAAAATGACGAGCGACGGCCCCCTTTAAAGCTAACCAAGACTCAAGTTAGTCAGAGTACTAATTAAGGTACAAATTAATAAATTCGGGAAATGATCGAAGGGCCCCCGCTCATCACCACTTCCGCCCTTGCCCTAGAAGCTAACAGTATAAAAGCCGGGCCTCGGAGCCCGAAATTCACATTCAGTTCTCCGAGCTTTGCGAGGAACGAACCTCTGCCCGACAGAGAGCCAACCTCTGACTCCTGGAGTATATTATAATCTATCTTTTTTGCATCTCTACAAAAATATCCTCACTACAAAACTATCTTCTCTACAAAAGTAATGATATCATCAAATTCCGCCAATTAAACTAAA